TGAGGTGTCACGGATAGGCGGCACTAATATGCAGCACTGATAGGCGGCACTGATAGGTGACACTGATGATGGGTACTGATAGACGGCACTGACTGGCATCACTGCTGGGCACTGACTGGCGGCACTGACTGGCACAACCCCTGGGCACTGACTGGTGGCACTGACTGGCAGCACTGCTGGGCTGCACTGGTGGGTGGCACTGGTGGGCGGCACTGGTGGGTGGGCACAGGTGGGGGGCACAGGTGGTGGGCACAGGTGGGCACAGGTGGGTGGCACTTCTGGGCACAGGTGTGTGACACTGCAGAGTGGCACAGGTGGGTGCACTGCTTGGCACAGGTGGGTGCACTGCTGGGCACAGGTGGGTGATCTGCTGGGCACAGGTGGGTGGAGCTAGTGGGCGCACTGCTGGGCACAGGTGGGCGGAACTTGCGGGTGGCACTGCTGGGCACTGATCATCAGTGTCCTGATGATTGGTGCCGATCCCCGCTGTGACAACTGCCGGTTCTCGGCAGTACTTTCCTCACGATCTGACAGCGTGAGGAAAGTGCAGCCGAGAACCGGCACTTGCATTTCCCTCTGATCAGCGTGTCATTGGACACCGCTGATCACGTGGTAAAAGGCCGCTGGGATCGGCCTTTTACCACATCACGTGATCAGCTGTGTCCGTAGATCGCCGGGTGCGCGCCCCCTGGGGCGCGCAGGAGAGCGCGTTCTGGGGGGACGTCATATGACGTCCACCCAGAACTGGCCGGCCGCAGTGAAGCCGTCATTCGGCTATCTGCGGTCGGCAACTAGTTAACATTCAAGTACAAAATGACGAGTCGCAATTGTATACACTATATTATTTTTTTTTATTTGCTATTTTTTTTCCCCCACAAAAGTGAAGTTACCCTTTAAATCTATGAGCCAGAATCTTATTGTGTACCTTATAACACAAATGTAATGTTGTTGACATCATAGCCGAAATTGAGAATAAAGTCTTGCAGAGTACAGATAAGCTATTCATTTGTGCTGTATTCAAGCCAAAATATGCACAAGACAACTAATCTCGTGAAAGGTTGCAGGAGAAAAAATCATAGCATGAATAGGATTAAATGGTTACAGAACTGCCGAAGTACTAAATACTGCAATTTTAAACCAACCACAATTAGTAATTCCAGCTAAATCTTTTGTTATAGCATTGTAAGGTTTCTTTCATGTAAAACTGTATTCAGTTTATGACAAGCAAACTATGCCTGACGCTGTACAGCAGACTCTGTAATTTCCCTGCCCCTACCTTGCCACCCACCTCTTTGATCTGCTGCTAAAGCTACCTCAAATCCAAACACTGACTTACTGATAGTCGGTATTTGCATAGGCAAATGAATGTATAGCAAAAACTGAACATATTTGAAATTCCTATACTCAGTTTTCATAAAGAAGAAAATAATTTATTAAAAATATTTTGAATAGTAATAATCATGCAAGATACACTACACCTTCAATAAACTAATGCTGCTTTTATTATTTGCATTTCTGTGTTGCATTCTCTGTTGAACAGAAAATACATATTCAGGTTATTTTTTTTACAAACAAATGAAGCCTTTATATGTGCTAAAAGGTCAGAGTGAAAACCATTTTGTCTCCAAAGTATTTAAAAAGCTTTGAGTAAACTAGTACATACCAAAAACTTGAAAACTTGATTACCCCGTACACATGGAAAGGTTAAAGCATATGTAAACCCTCACCTTGTAAAACAACTCATTCCGTTTTAAATAGAAATGAAAGGCAAAGCATTTGTGTATACATATTAAAAAACATTATAAATACCCTTTCTACCTTTTTTACAAGTGATCACATACCCTCCGCTCTCAGCTGCAAAGAGAGGTGAGGGTGGGGAAACAGCAGTACACTGATCTTCCCAATGAATGGCTGTACAAGGGAAGAGGGGCATGTCAGCAGAAGTCTGATTATTGGAGGAGGGCACACAGTTCCCAGCACACCCAGAGAACTGACCACCCTGTGCTCCTGCCTAGTGTGGCCAGTTTATAGTAGGAAAGCAAAGGGACTGGCAAAAACAACAAGGATTTCACACAAAGGAAGCAATACAAAAAGAACAGGATACTTTTCCATACAAGTACATGGTACAGCAGGCACATTTCAGGAATATGAAAATGTTGGGTTTACATTAAGTGAGATATAATGTATTTTCATTCAGCACTTACAATATGATGGAGACGTGTTCTCTATACATAATTTATATGAAATTGCTTAAAGTTGAACTTTAGGCAGGTATAAAAGACTCAGATGAATGCAGCTCTGTAATCAGTAGTAAAACATTAAATGTACAGCAAAAAAAAAAAAAAAAAAATGAGGACACACTCCAGGGAAATCCCACTCTACATTTATTGTGTGTAGCTGGCTGTCTAGAGGTCTATGATTAAGCCCTAGGGGGAGTGAAACATGTTAGAGGGGTGTGCCTAATGGTGGGGACTCTTTCAGTCTTTCTTTCGACATCATTAAATGTATTTTAAATGCAAGTAATATCAATACCTGAATTATTATTATTATTTCAGGTGCTCATATAGTGCCATCCATTTACGCAGCACTTTACACACATATATATATTGTACATTCACATCAGTCCCTAACCCCTCAAGGGGAGTACAATCTAAGGTCCCTAACTCACATTCATACATATACTAGGGCCAATTTAGAGAGGATCCAATTCACCTACCAGCATGTCTTTGGAATGTGGGAGGAAACCGGAGTACCCAGAGGAAACCCACGCAGGCACAGTGAGAACATGCAAACTCCAGGCAGGTAGTGCCATGGTTGTGATTCGAACCAACGACCCTAGTACTGCCAGGCGGAAATGCTAACCATTTAGCCACTATGTTGGTATCAATCATTAGCCCTCCCTGTACAGCAGAGCTCAGAATGCGAGAGGCAGAAGCAACAAAAACAGCCAATCAAGAGTGCTACATTATAAGGAGCATGTTGATAGCAGGAGAGAGCAGAGAAAAATGGAGAGATTAGTTCATCAGTGGGTTACTTTTATTGTTCAGTCAACGGATGGTGGTGGGGAGAATGCCTGTAGATGAAAGTGAAAATGCAGCAGAGAAAGATCAGGTCCCCTCCCCTGCTAGACATGTCTGTGTTCTGTGTGGCAGATTTGTAAATCTCAGGACTGGATGAAACAGAAATACAATTCTTTGGCAGGTAAAACAGCTTCTTTGCATTTCATCTGCATATTTAGCTGTTTTCTTGGAGTTCAGCTTTAAATCGGTACTGAAATCACTGACAAAAAATATCTCTAAAGTCACCTTATCTTCCCCAGCACTCAGAACAAATACAAATGCAGACCTTGGATCAGATGAGCATTTGCAAAAGCAAGCTTGTAACAGCCCAGCAGGTCTTTTTTTTAAATCGTCTTTCTCTGATCCGGCTGAGCACAGTACAGTGTCTGCACTGGTGAGCTGTATAGACTTCTGTGGGCTGATGGTACATTAGTCCCTGAGCTACTGGCAGGAAGCCCACAGAAGTCTATACAGCTCACTAGTACAGGCAGTTATCAGGCGGCTCAGACAGAACAGGCGGGATAACAATCATTATTTGCATTCTATGGATTTTTATACACTGCAGGATCAGATAGCAGAACAGTAACCTTGCAAGCCAAGAATACATGGGGTGTCAATGTTAGCTGGACAGAGCTAGGTTCTACAACCTTTAATGACCTTTGTAAGATTACAGAATAAATCACGATTTAAAATGTGCATACATGTTTATTGAAATACAGTGCCGCAAGGTTACTGCTTCCAATTCTGATTACATTCATACAATATCAACCACGAATAGTGTACAAACTTTCTGTGTCAAGATCTTTATATGAATAATAACAAATGGGATAGGGATGCATGTTTAGATTTAAAGCGGTAGTAAACCCACAGTTGATCCAGAGGAAGGCAAAAAACCCAGCAAAGCATGATCCAATTTGCTCCTGCAGGGAAAAAAATTCCTTTCTGATCCCCCTAGAGGCAATCGGATATTCCCTGGATCAACTTTACCTATAAATATTAGTATCCAGTTATATTCTGTGTATCTAAGAAAGAATCCAGGCCTTTTTTGAAGCAATCCACTGAGCTGACCAGAACCAACTCTTGAGGGAGTCTATTCCACATTTTCACAGCTCTCACTGTGAAGAAACCTTTCCGTGTTTGGAGATTAAATTTCTTTTCCATACTAACACATTATGTAAAACTTACCTTTAACTTTTTGCCATAAAATGTAGAAATACAACTTAGAAAAAAAAATCGTGGGTCCATTACAATTAAGGTCAGTGTTATCAATTAATAGGGAGGTGCTGAAAAGGCCAGAACAGCTCTTGATACTGTCAGACCAGGGATGTCAAACTCAATTTCATTGCAGGCCGCATCAGCATTACATTATGGTTGCCTGCAAAGGGCCAGTTGTATTTGTAAGGCTATATAAATATATCTACACTTGATCAAATGTAATAATTCCCTCCTGCATTTGATTATTACTGGTTTTAGTAATACCTTAACCACTTCAAGTCCGGACACTTTCCCCCCCTTGCAGTTGAGGCCAATTTTCAGCTTTCAGTGCTATCACACTTTGAATGACAATTGTGCGGTCATGCAACACTGTACCCATATGAATGTTTTAGCAATTTTTTTGAGACAGATAAAACTTTATTTTGGTGGTATTTATTCACCACCGGGATTTGTATTTTTTTTGCTATATAAATGAAAAAGTCCAAAATTGTGAAAATTTTGCAAATAATCTTTCTTCATAAATCTTGGCCAAAATGTATTCATCTATCTTTTTAGTAAAAAAAAAAAAAAACAACTCAAATTAGTTTATAACCAAAATTATATTTTTTCAAAATTATTTTTTTATTGTTTTTTTTATATTTTTTATATTGTTATTTGTGTTTTTTTTAACATACTGTCATCCTAGCAGTACCGTGTCACCATAGTGACACTGTACTATTTGTGGGGGGTGATGAAGATTTTTTCTTTTTTTACACCGATTGCTTTTACACCCATAAAGGCTGTAAAAGCAATAATTGCTCCTTCTCTCTGGCTGCATTCCTGCAGCCATTGAGAAATACTGTGAGAGCTGTGATTGGTCACAGCTTGTCACATGGTACAAGGCTGCTGTGAATAGTACAATGTCAGAAGTGACATCTTGTTTACTACTATTCATGTGATCACTGATTTGCCAATCAGTGATCACATGAATCAGGACCTCACACAGAGGTTCCGTACAGCAATCGGTGTTCTCCGGACACAGCGGGCACCGATCGTGGTGCCGTGTGCTCCCAGGGAGCGCACACAGGCAATGGATGTGGGGGGATGTTTAGAAACGTCCACCTGTATCGGCAGCACTCCCATACAGCCGTTTATCTACATGGGCCAGACTGCTAGTGGTTAAGACTTAAGCTGTGAAGGGCAGGTGCGTCATGGAGCCCACTCACACTCCTGTAATAGATGATGCAAATCCAATAAGGAGGGTTGCATACCGCTGGTGTCATCTACAAAAAACGTTATTGGATACTGCTCAGATACAACTTATAGTTCTATCTGGGCTGTCTCAAAAAAATAAATTATTGTGGATAATAACAGAGGTGTGCGATCCTACTTTCCAACAGGCATAGAATTGTATTATTCTTATAATAATTATAGGCAGATTTCCAGAGCACCCCACTCCCCCGTTACATCAGATGTCAAGAGCCCCCCCACCATCAGAAATTAAGAGTCCCCCACCCTCCCTTACATTACAGTGCACCCCTCTTACCTTGTGCTGCTGGGGGTGGAGCTGCAGGCAGAAGAGGTGCAAGGGCCACATGAAATGGCCTGGAGGGCCGGATTCAGTCCGCGGGCCTTGTGTTTGACAAGTGTATGTTAGACAGTTTCACAGTTTGCATATTATAGATTTGGACATCTGGTACACTCCAAAAAACTTTCAAATGCATGTTTGGTTACAGCTGGTGCTTGTATTCAGTCCTGGAGACAGCTTAGATAGTGTGCAGAACTGAAGGATTTACTTTGAAGTGTATGTAAATGCTTAAAATGAAATTGGAATTAAGCCCAAAAATGAAAAAAAAATGCTTACAGGTAGGATTGTTATGACAGAAGAGACCCTACTGATCACATGTTTAACAAACTCTATTGATTCCCATTGATTGCATAGTCATTTTCTGGAAAAGGTGAACTTAGCTTTTGAGCTCCCTTTTTTGTCTTACTCAGAAACATCCTTTTCTGCATGAAAACAAGATCTGGTTGTATTTGTTTAATGGGCAAAACAGGAAACACAGCATCTCAGGTAAATGAAAGAGAAAATAACTTGTCTAGACTGAGAATAAAATATTATACAGATAAGGCACTAATTTGATTCTTTGATGATTCCACAATTACCTGTAAAAAAATATTTTGCTCGTTATCCAAGATGTTTATAATAAGTTAAAATGCAAACACTTCATCTGAAGATGGAATACTGACCATCATGAAATGATCTTGGAATAGGGATGTAATAATATGCATCCCTTAAGACTAGAAGAGCTGAAGCAGGCTTCATTTACTAGATGGACAGTTGAATTAATGGATTCCACTGGGATTTTATCTCCATTCTAAATGTTTGTTTAGATCCAGGATAACTGTGATCAGTCTGCATTAACCATTTGGTGTCCTGAAAAAAAGTCCTCTCTCCTCCTCAGTAACCTCCAGAATCACTAATGGAGCAGAGAAAGAAGTGAGGACTTCATGGACTGCTGAAGGGCTGGATAGGAATATGAAGGGATTAGCTTGAATTTAAATGAAGGCAGGAGTGTATTTACCACAAGGCAAACAAGGCATTTGCCTAGGGCGGCATTTTTCAGTGGGAAGAAAGGACACAAGCGGCATGGGGACCTGGTTCAGAGAGATGCTGTGGGTTTCTTGACGGTGTATGCATAGCCCAACTCTCATTCCTGGGGATGTCCAGAGCTGTGAAAATGAGTGTCTCTCTCTCTCTTGCCATGGGGGATGGTGGCTGGTGTATGGGGGTCAGTGGTAGTGGAAGGCTCGGGTGGAGGGCATTGGTGTTCTTGGTCAATGTCAGACTCTTTCTGTGGGGGGGCACCAATTTTTGTGTTGCCTAGGGCCGCACAAAACTTAAATACACCACTGAATGTAGGGTATCTCACCAATGACAGTCCAGCGCCCTTCAAATAAAAGAGAAGAGAGAGTACAGATCTGGAGCAATAAAAACATACGTTATTAACATTAAAACAAACGTGGCATTGACTCTCATGCAGCCATGTGTTCCTTGTACACAGTCACCATGAACAGGGTGTCCACCTCCAGATTGCTGATAGACCATACACAACAAAGCCACAATGTTGTTCCACACCAGAGCTCTCTACTAGCAGTGGCCAAAGACCCGTTTGTATATGTATCCACCCACTTCTTTTGCAGTGTGGTAATTAAAGCAAGGCGTTTCAGAGATATATCCCCTTTTCTTAAAGTTGAATTTTTACCTAGTTACATTGTTCCAGTTTGGACCAATATAAGTATGCATATCCCATACCTGTGTCCCCATGAAAGCTGGAAAGGCCCCGTTCCTATAGTGATCTTCACTAGTTTCTGGGTTCTATGCATGAACGCCATTCAGAGAACACTTTGCAGTTAAATTAATGTAAAACATTCTCTGATTGGATGAGATAGAGAGGCAGGATTGTTGTCAGCACAATCTCCATCTCATTGAACCTGGGTTCACACTTGTGCGGTGCGGCATATCACATGTGATTCGCACAAGAATTGCACTGCATTCCTGTGCAAATCACATGCAAATTCTGTGCGGTGCAATTTGAGCCATACATTTTGTATGGCTCAAATTGCACCGCATCTTCACCAAAAAGCTGCAGGACTCTTTTTTTGGTCCACACTAGAATTGGATCGTATGGGTATTCACATCTATACGATCCGATTCTGCACATTGCACCACATTTTGCGGACCGATTTCGCGGTGTTGTTAACTCAACACACACACCCCGCAGTGGTTCGCATGAACAGGGTGCGATTGTGATGCGGTGCAGAATTCACACAGAAACTGCTGCGAATTACGCACTGCATCAGTGTAAACTGAGGCTCAATCAAAGAATGCTTTGCATTCACTGAGAAAAGAAAAATTGTTCTCTGATGATGCCCAAGCCAAGTGGTCAACATCCTGGTGGATTGGCCATAGTATACACATACAGTATGTTAGCTAGAGACCTTAACTTGTAAGCTCACTAAGGGCAAGGCATGATGTGAATGTACAGTATATAAAGTGCTGTGTAAATTGATGGCACCACTTGAATAACTATAATGAATAAACCAATGTGAGTCTGAATTCTTGCCCTGCATAAACTCATTGAACTAGCAGGCAGTGAGGACAGAATCAGTGCCAGTGTCAGAGTCAGCATCTTAAAAAAAACTTAAAAAAAAAAATATTCTTACAGGTTCCTTTTAATAAGGAAGCAGAAAGTGCAAAAACAGTGCATAGTGCAGTAAACCACTGCACCACTGCATTCTACAAATAAATATGAGCATCTCAGTGGTCAACAAAGAGGTGATCAAATACCAAGGGAGCTAAAAGTGGACCCTGAAAATAAATAGCAAAGTCTACTTATTCAATGACAGCCTGCTCCTCCATTTTAATTTGCAGTGCTTAACTGTAAAAAACAAAAACAAACACCTATTGGGAAAAAAATACCTCCCCCACTCCACCCTCCTCACCTATGCATGGGTGATTTCATCTTTCTTCCAGTGAGATCCCAAGGAATAGCAAGCAGTCCGAATCTTGCAAGAAGACATGATTGTACCATGCTACTATAGTGTGGTGAGATTTCAGGTACTTGGCATTTGGTGAGATCTTGTCACAAGGATGGCAACTTCATCCCTGGGGTACAGAACTGGAGGAAAGTTGAGTGTATTAACTAAATTTGAGATGTTTTTGACAGACTAGTGCTGTAGATCGCATCTGCTACATCAAACGCCCAGGTTGAACCACCACGCAAACCCGAGTCAAGGAATGCATACACAAGATACCTAGGTTGAGCCTCCATTTCTACCTAACTGAGTCAAGGATTGCCTACATTAGATGCCCAGGCTACGCTTCCATTCACATCTGAGTCTAGGATTGCCTACTTTAGAAGTCCAGGTTGAGTCTCCATTACCACCCGTGTCAAGGATTGCCTACATTAGATGCCCAGGTTTAGTCCTTATCACCACCTGAGTCAAGGATTGCCTACATTGGATGCCCAGGTTGAGACCCCATCCACTCACCTAAAGTGAGTGCTTTTCAGGCAATTTAGAAGTGTTTTTGCATGTGTAGACAAAAACGTTTAAAGCATTTTGCCAAATTTTTGCACATGTATGCAAACGCAAGAATTTTTGTTTTGGGGGAGGAGAAGAGAGGGAGAACAATTGTTTAGAAACAAAAATGCTTGTGTTATTCATTTACAGGAACTTTTAATAAAGGCTATGGGACCAAAAACATTCATCATAGCCCTGAGAAAAGCTCTTATACCTTTTTTTGTGCATTGATAGAAAAGAATAGAAGGAGAATGGAATTCTTGATGTTGAACATTGTCATGCATATGAAAATGCTCAAAAATGCATGGCAAAATGCTGAAGTGTGAATGGAGCTGAGGGCTGTGTTACATTCGTGATCCTCAGGGGTGGACTGACTATTTGGGCCCGGGGTCAGTAGGGGGCCCCATGAGATGCCCCTGGTACCTTTTCATAGCCTTTTTTGGGTGTGGTTTGAGTGTGGGCCAGGACACAGGGGCCCCATGATCCCCTGTTGCTCGGGGGCCCCATGAGTTGTCAGTCCACCCCTGGTGATCCTGTTGCTGGCAATTTCTTGCCATCAATAAGGTTGCTAAAAGAGCCCTCACCCACTTCTATGGTGGCACTCTGTTGAAACTTCTTCATTCATGTGCAAGATTTCTGGGTCAGTAAGGGAACGATGGCCATTAGTGTAAGTGTTTTTTTTACCACAGTGATTGATGTGGCCCCAGCAGAGAAATTGCCAGTGTGACATCAGTAGTTCATTGGACTTAAAGTAAAACTAAACTCTGTTTTTTTTTGCTGCTGTGATCCAGTTTCCTGTTAAAGCGGTAGTAAACACTGCTTGGACACTTCTACCTACAGGTAAGCTTACAGGGAATACAGTGGGGAAAACAATTATTTGATCCCCTGCAGATTTTGTAAGTTTGCCCACTTACAAAGAAATGAAGGGTCTATAATTGTTATCATG